CCTGGAAAGGGTTAAACTGGGTGGCTCCTTGGAAGCAAGGATTCTAAGGCTCTGTCTAACATACTTTGGACATGTTGTAAGGAGAGACCGGTCTTTGGAGAGGGACATCATGCTTGGGAGGGTGGAGAGACAGAGCGCAGGACGGGAATGTGCTCTATGAGGTGGATTGATTCAGTGACTGGGGTAACCGGAATGGGAGTGTCAGAGACAGTGCAATTGGCACAGGACAGAGCAGAGTTTAGGGCTGTTGTACATAGGGTCGCTATGAGCCGCAAGCAACTCGATGACACATAACAACAACAACATTGTGATGGGGAAAGTCTGCAGTTAGTGACCTGTCTAAAGTACTGATGAGCAATGATATCAGTCTGGAGACTAAGGTGTGCCTGACACAGGCCATGATCTTTGCAATCACTGTTATGCATCAGAAAGCTGGACCATGACTAGGGATGATAGAAGGAGAATTGATGACTTTGAGCTGTGGTGTCAGAGAAGAGTATTGAATATACATGGAATGCTAAGAGAATGAACAGGTTTGTCCTGGAGAAGGTGAAGCCAGACTGCTCCATGGAGACCAGGATTCTAAGCTTCGTATGACATACTTTGGACATGCTGCAAGGAGGGTCCAGTCCTTGGAGAGGGATATCATGCTTAGGAAGGTCGAGGGACAGTACAGGAGAGGAAGACCCTTGATGAGATGGATTGATTCAGTGACTGGGGTAATGAGGGTAGGTGTGTCAGAAACAATGGGATTGGCACAGGATAGAGTAGGGTATAGAGCTCTTGTACATAGGGTAGCTATGAGTCGCAAGCAACTCGATGGCATATAACAACAACAGAGCCAAGTGTTGATTGTGGATCCAAGCAAGATGAAATTGTTAACAACCTCAATCTTTTCTCCATCTGTCATGATGCTGCCTATTGACCTGGTGGTGAAAATCTTTGTTTTCTTGATGTTGAGATGCAGTCCATACTGAAGGCTGCAGTCCTTGATCTTCTGCAGTAAACGCTTCAAGTCCTCTTCAGTTTCAGCAAGCAAGGTTGTGTCATCTGCATAACACAGGTTGTTGATGAGTCCTCCTTCAATCCTAATGCAATATTCTTCTTTATAAAAATTAAGTCTCCCAAATAATCTGCCCAGCACAGATCCCAAATGCCCAATTTTTAGTGTTATGGGGCAATCACAAGGGCTTTGATATATATAGAGAGAGTAAGGCCTCAGTAAATATTGACTGTTGTTATTCATCCAAATGCAAGATGAAGAGATCTCTAGAAAACAGAAACAAGAACTTTGATTTAAAAGTTAAGAAGTTAGAATCTGGATATTAAGTGATCACAGAGTAGAAGAGAAGGAGTCGTCAGAGAAAGCTGTCAATCACTAAGATGAGACCACAGGAGGAATGGAATGAAAAGTCTATTAACACCAAGAGATGTTTTCCACTAGGCAGTTAAATAAATATACTGGTCTTGAGGCTCAAGGGGAAGTTGGGATGAAGACACGGATTTTGAAACTTCATTATAACATCATGATAAAGGCACAGGAGCAGGTGGGTTCATAAGGACAGTGGACAAAGAGAGTGGAGGATCTGGGAAACATGACTGAACGGACAGAGATAAAGAAAAAGGAAGAATAAGGCAGCAGTGGCCAAGATAAGGGGGGAAATCAGTGAGGGAGAGGCCAGTTGTTCCAATGACTGCCATCTGGACGAGCCCGTGGTCAAGGCAGGTCAGGATACAGAAGGTTCCACTGGAGTTACTAGGTGTGTGTGGGAAACTCATCAGGAGCTTCGGTGGGCATGGATTCAGTAAAGAGAAATCCAAATGAGGTGAACAGAGAGATGAAGACCTAATGAATGTGCCTATTCTTTCAAGAGGTTGGCTTTAAAAGGAAAGGAGAAATGGAGAAAATGTGGAAAGATAAGACAGGTTTTTAAGTTGAAGAGCTTTGAATGGTTACATGAAAAACCATCATGATTTGTAAACCTTTCTTTAAATAAAAATAAGATGAAGAGGTTTGAGTCCACGCTAATGGTGATGCAGACGACCAAAAAAAAAAAGAGAGATTAAAAATCATGATAATTCCATGTCTTACAGAGCAAAACTCTCCAGGGTTTTATTGGCTATAATTTATTTTTCCTTTAATTTGAACCACTCCTTCTTGGCCTATGTCTTTCTCTGCACAAATACAACGAAGTGTCTCATTCTTCACCACATTATTCAAAACTTGTTATCATCTATAGTCAAAGGTCTTTCCATAGTTAATAAAACACAGGTAAATATCTTCCTGGTATTTTCTGTTTTCAGTCAAGGTCTAGCTGACATCAGTTACGATACCCCACATCATCTTCCGAATCCAGCTTGAATTTCTGGCAGTTCCCCATCCATGTACTTCTGCGATTGTTTTCTGAAACTGTCATCAGTAAAAGTTTGCTTACATATGATAAGAACTAAGGTGCGGCAGAAATGCTAGCAACTGGAACCCAGCAACCACTCCATGTCTTCCAGGACCTGGTGCTTTGCTAAAAGATCACAGCCTGGGAGACCTTGGGGCGGTGGGCAGTTCTGCTCTGTCATGCTGGGTCAGGATGAGTTGGAATCAACCTTCCAGCATACAAGTTCATCACGTTTGAACTTAAAAAACAAAGCACATGGGGAGAGATTTTAAGATGAGACTTTGGCCACTGCTCCAGTACTGCCTTGGTACTGTTGGCTTCCAGCACTAGCCATTGACTTGGCTGGTGCAGCCACAGACCACTGACAGGTGTTAAGGGGACTGGATGAAATATTTGTTGTATTTTGATCCTCTTTATAAAAATATGAAAGCCACTATATTTTATTTTTAGAAATGAATTTATATGCCTGCTCCTCACTTATTCATTATCCTATTGTCTGATATTTTGCAATTATAGTCAGAGCAGAAAATCAACTATTTTGCAAATCAGTGACATATGGCTGGCCATAAGGAATACTGAGGTTTGAGATAATAAAACTGACTATAATTACATCATTGGAAGCAGAAGTGACGTCACTTCCTAAACATGTCTCTGGACACTCTATGAACTTTGATAAATGTCAATAGTTATAGAAAGGCTTCAGACCTATGAGTCGTGCTCGACTTGAAGACAATCAACAACAACAACAACATGATATCAATTCTATTGTTCCATGATCTCCACATTCTGCTGGACCATAATTCTTTAAAATGGGCACAAGCATAGATCTCTTCTAATCAGTTGGTCGGGTAACTGTATTCAGATTTCTCAATGTGTGTGTTTTCAACACTGCATTTGTTGAAATATCTCAGCTGGTATTCTGGCAATTCCTAGAGACCTTTTTTCCCCCAATTGATTAGTGTACCAGAACTGTTGGTTTTAGGGGTTTTTCCTTCAGTGCTACTGGTTCTTGTTCATATGCAGCTTCCCAAATGGGTGAACATCCAACGATCTCACAGTGACTGCATGTTACTTCCATACTCTTGTGATGCTTGCTGAGTCATTCTGTAGTTTGCCATAGAACCCAAATAAACCCACTACTGCAAAGTGAGGCTTGAATTTTTCCTTCTGTTCTTTATCTTGTGAAAGAAAGAGCAAGCTTGTTTCCCTTTCTCAGTTTTCTCACTCTGGGTTTTTGCACATTTCTTTGTGTTTTACTTTGTCTTCTTGATCTGTGAAATCATCTGTTCCATTCTTACGCCTTTTTCCTTTTTTCTGTTCCCTGTATCTATTCTATACTCAAGAGAAAACTTCAGTCTCTTCTGACATATTTCTTGGTACTTTCTGCCTTCCTACTGATCTTTTACCTTCAATGTATCATCCCCTGGTTGGTCCTGGGTGTTTCAACAGTCAGAACTCTTTTTGAGACAATCTCTAAATTCAGGTGGCATGTGTTCAATACTTTGGATTACATGTATTTGTTTACTTTTTCTTTAGCTTCAACTTGAACTTACATATGAGCAGCTGACAGTCTGCTCCATGATGGCTCGTGGCCTCATTCTGGCTGGTGACATTGATCTTCTTCATCCCATCTTTTCACAGATATAGCACAGTGGATCCCCCAAGTCTACATGCATCCATTGTCCTCAAGTTAATTCTGATTCACAGCTGTCCTACAGGGCAGAGTAGACCAATCCTATCAGGATTACAAGGCTATAAATCTTAAAAGGAACAGACTGCCTTATCCTTCTCCCTCAGAAATGCGGGGGTTCAAACTGCCAACCTTTCCATTAAAAATGCCATTTGCAATCAATATGTCATTGTCTCAGAAAATTTTATCATGTCACCTCTAGCATCATTTCTATCACAAAGCCATATTTTCCAACAACTAATCCTTCTTTGTTTCCAGCTTCCAAATTCCAATCACAAGTAATTATTAATTAATGCATCCTGATCACATGTCTGATCCACCTCAGGCTGCAGAAGTCAGTAAAATCTTCCATTTCTTCCATCCTTGGCATTAGAGGCTGGTGTGCATTTGTTGTAATCTTAACCGAAGCAGATCGCCAGACACTTGCGTCCACAGTGGGTTCAGACCATCAGCATTTCATTTAATAGTTGCGTTCGGCCATTTGTGCCACCTGGGGACCTTTGGGCGAGGAAGAGTTGGCAACCACAGTGCAATGTCCCCGTGGAGGAGAAAGAATGTGATCACGTGGACAGGTGGCCATGTGAGGAGAGGAAAGGAGTGAAGAAGGGAGGCAGCCAGAAGGACACAGGCAAGGTTGGTAGTGCTGAGGGAGGAGGTGGAGGCCAGACATGGATGTGACTTTGGAAGCCATACACAGACCGCATAGACTTGAGGGATGCCATCGTTAAACAACAAAAGGTCAGGACCCACAGAGTCACAGCAGACACAGGAGCCCCAAACACGCTGAAGGGGAGGTGGCCTGTGGGTGCCAGACTCGGGGATACCAGGAGAGGAGAGTGAGTGAGCCTGGGGGAGGGGGGGGGGTCGAACACGCTGCTCTGCATTAAGCAGGCTGTCTCCTCCTTTCTCTTACTCAGTGGGACTTGGTGTGCGGCTCCTACAAACTGAAGGAGTTGGCCCAGTCTCTGTACATGGCGGGCGTGCTGATTGGTGGGATCTTATCTGGAAACCTGTCTGACAGGTGAGATGGGGGGAGCTTCCAAGGGAAGGTTCAACCAGGGAGACGACCACGCCCTCCCCTGCTGCAGTGTGGCCTAGACGGCAAGGACGGACGCCACAGGAGAGGACAGGGCTCAGATCTGTTATTACTCAGAGTCACCCTCAACTCAACAGCCTCTAACAAGAGCCCTGTTCCACCCAGACACCTCAGAGGCAGAGGTCTGGGGGGATTAGCAGCCCCTTCTGGGTGACCTTAGGCAAGTCCTATTCACTGTCTGAGCTACAGCTCCGTCTCTCCCCTAAGGCCCTTATACCTCAGTCTTCCGGTCTCCCTACCAGGGACAAGCCCAGGGGTCCCAGCCCTCGTAGTTGGGAAGCAGTAGAGGAAACACAAACAGGCTGCTTGGAGATGACTCTCCTTTGACCCAGCTCAGGCTGCCAAGCTGAGGGTGGAAGCAAAAGAGATTGCTCATTAACCCAAGCCTCTAATTGCAAACCTGTTGAAAAATAGCAATTACCAGCAAGGCTCTGTAGGGGAGGGAGCCCTTGCCAGCCAAGGGAGGAAGCTATGTGCCCCCTGGTCCTGTGGGAGGTGGGTCATCACTTCCTCCCAGGACCTGCCGAGTCACTGGCCTTGGCAGCCTCCCTGGACCTAACACAGCCCTACCTCCCCTTTGTGCTGCAGGTTTGGTCGCAAAATTATCCTGTGCTGGAGCTACCTGCTGCTGGCCGTCAGCGGCTGCTGTACAGCCTTCAGCCCCACCCTCCTCACCTACATGGCCTTCCGCTTCCTGACGGGCTGCAGCCTCGCCGGCATATCTATGAGCACGGTGATCCTGAGTGAGCGGCGTGGAGGGGCTGGAGGAGAGGGAGTACAGGGAGAAAGGGATGGGCTCTCAGGCAGGCCCAGTCACACACAGGTTCCCTGAGACAAGAGCAAAGTATTGGGCTTCTTGAGACCTCGGAGACCCCCTCTGAACCCATCAACAAGCAAGCGAACGGTTGCTGTCATCAGTGTCTGTTGTTCACAATGGGCCAGCGAGCTCACAGCTGGCTGTCCAGCAGGTTTCCAGAGACAGGAAATCACATGAGAGAAGACTACCCATCCTTCTCCCACATAGTAGCTGGTGGATTCGAACCACACCCCTTCGGGACTGCAGCACAGTATCTTACTATATGAGGCCTGAGCTCCCTGCAGTTACTGTTGTTGTTGTTATGTGCCATCGAGTCGCTTGCAACTCATAGCGACCCTATGTACAACAGCCCTAAACTCTGCTCTGTCCTGTGATAATCGCACTGTCTCTGACACTCCCATTCCGATTACCCCAGTCACCGAATCAATCCACCTCACAGAGGGCCTTCCCCTCCTGCTCTGTCCCTCCACCCTCCCAAGCATGATGTCCCTCTCCAAGGACCTGTCCCTCCTTGCAACATGTCCAAAGTATGTTAGATGGAGCCTTAGAATCCTTGCCTCCAAGGAGCAGCCTGGTTTGACCCTTTCAAGGATGAATCTGTTTTCCTAGCAGTCCATGGTACCCTTGATACTCTTCTCCAACACCACAGCGCAAAGGCATCAATTCTCCTGCTATCCTCCTTAGTCATTATCCAACTCTCCGATGCATAACAAGTGATAGCAAAGACCATAGCCTGTATCAGACACACCTTAGTCTCCAGAGAGACACCATTGCTCTTCAGTACTTTGGAGAGGTCCCTGACAGCAGACTTTCCCATGGCAATACGTCTTTTAATTAGCTGTCCTCAAATCTAATCTGATCCCTGGTGCCCCCCTGTGTGTGCAGAGCAGAACTGCTCCACAGGACTGTCAAGGATGGGACCTTCTGGAAGTTAGTAGCCAGGCCTTTCTTCCAAGCCACTGCCGAGTGAGTGTGCACTGCCAAGCTCTCAGTAAGCAATCAAGCACTTAACAGTCAGCCTGCCCAGGCTGCTTCAAAGCATATTGATGGCAGCGATGAATACTGACCTCTGCTGGTGCAGTGCACACGGAGTGGTGCTGCTGACCCACAGGTCACACACACTCTCTGGTAGCTCAACTCCACCACAGAGGGGAGAAAGATGGGTGCTCTCCTCCCGGGGGCTTCACGGCCTCAGAAACCTACTGGAGGGTCACCCCCAGTCAGTGCCGACTCCATGGCAATCACGTTGACGTTGTTCACTTTGACCCATACTGAAGGCTTCCTGTGGGCCTGACACTCCACATGGCACGACTTCTCCTTTAGTCCCCGCTCTTACGTAGGTGATGCCATAATCCCCATTTTACACATGATGAAAATGAGGCACAATTAAGGACAGTCATTGCCATGACTTCCCTTTAGAGAGGACAGTAGTCAAATGCGAGGTGAGATGCAAACCTGTCTGATTTCCAAACTCACACAGTCATCAAATGCAGCAACTGTCTGACGAGAATGACCAAGGTCAGGTTGAGGAGCCACTGGGAGGCAGAAGGGGAAAATGCCAGGGGCCCAGGAGGGCATTAACCCAGCAGGACACTAATCTGGTCCTTGGGCTCCTCCCTACAGATATCGAGTGGATGCCCACCCGCATACGCGCCATCAGTTCAACGGCTGTCGGCTACTGCTATACCATTGGTCAGTTCATTCTGCCTGGCGTGGCCTATGTCATTCCCCAGTGGCGCTGGCTACAGTTAACAGTGTCCATTCCCTTCTTCATCGTCTTCCTGTGGTCCTGGTACGTGGCCCCTTCCTATCCACCTGACTCCTTTGACCCACAAGGGTCAAGCAAGGGAAGCTCATACCTGACCAGGCTGGCAAGTTCTGTTTGTCCCTAGGTAACCCTGCTCCCAGGTCAGGCAAGGACACCAGGGATGGGGAATTACATAATCAAAGGCAGGCAACAGGTAGAAGCAGGTATCCAGGGGGGCCCCAGGGGCTGCTGGCAGCTAAAGAAGGGGAGCGCACTGAGACAGGCAGGATGGAGCTCATTAAATCGAGAAGCTTCACTGGAAAGGTGGGAAGCCATGAAGCATCTGTGGTGGTTAGAGGCCCGATGGAGACTGCATGTGAACAGTCCAGGACAGACCAGTGGGCAATGTGAGGGCGGAGACAAGAAACCAAAGGGACTGGGCGGGAACAGGAGTCACGACCAATCTTAACATACAAAGGAGGAATCCACAGAAATGAGGACTTCTAAATTCAAAGGAGAAAAAAAAGGAAGGTGCCCAAGAGCCTCGGTCTGGGAACCGGGCAGAGAACCCCTGTGGGGTAGAAGGTCACAAGTCAAACCTGAGCATGAGAGGGCAGGAGAGGAGAAGAGGCAACTGGAGGCAAAAGACAGGGAATCGCAGAAGAGCTCAGGGACAGACACAAAGACTTAGCGGCGCTCTTTACTGAGCACTGGCAGTAACTGTGGAAAGCCTTGTTCTGGGCATCAAGAGATGACCGGCTAGGAGGGTCGGTGCGATGGGCCCAGGAAGCCACCACTGTCAACTGAGGGCAGTGGCCTAAGGTTGAGTGACCAACATCCACTTCCCTCAGGGCCTCTAAGGGTCTCCATGTCCACAGGGAAAGAAAGTGAGCACAGCTCAAGGTGACCGCACCTTGGGCCAGATCTTTCCACCACGATTCCTTCATCTTCACACCTCTTCCTCCTTCAGTCTGCTTCACCCAGTGACCCTCAGGGATTGCTGAGGTGGGGGGACAACCCCAACAGAAAAGCCTAGGCTGAAGGAAGAGCACTGCCCTCCAGCCAAACCCAGCACAGCCTGGCACACCCCATGCTGTGCCCCATCCAGCAATCTCTGTCCTCTGTAAGAAGAACGGAAGTGTCCTCAAACCCATGTCCTTGGCCATGACTGTTGCACTGACCCCAAGCCCTTCTCCCAAGCTGCCCTGGGACTGCAGGCTTGCCCCCTCCTCACCATAGAGGCTGGGGATTTGGCCCAAGGAAACGTGTAGAAGTGGATGGACATGCGGAATGTTCCAGCTGCCCAGCCTTGGATGTGCTGTCCCCTCCTCAGGCCTCACCTGCCTTGGCCTAGGGCCCAGAGCTCCAAGCTAAAGAAAGACACCCAAAGATAACAAATGACTCAGGTGGGGAGCAGAGCGCAAACTCTTCTGGAAGGAGAAGACAAAGCTGGGATTTGTGGTGGCTGCAGGCAGCCCAGGTGCACAGTTTAAATTCCGTGAACACTCCATAAGGCAGCCCGGGTTTCCGGGCCTCTGACCTGTTGGCCTGGTTGTTGATGTTCCCCCAGCCTCACCACGGGGCTTCTGGGGTGGAGAGGAAAGTACTGTGACTTCACTCTCTGCCCCCAGGTGGATAGCAGAGTCTGTAAGCTGGATGGTCCACTTCGGGAAGTCCTCAAAGGCCCTGAAGTTACTCCGCTGGGTAGCTGCCTTCAATGGCAAGAAGGAAGAAGGAGAGAAGATCAGCTTGGAGGTAAGGACCACAGGGGCTTGGGTCCTGGAAGCCGGACTCCTGCGCTCTACTCTTGGACGTTTCCTTCTGCCTGCTTCTGTTTCCCTGCTCTCAAACTCGCATTGTTGTTATCTCAGCCACTAAGTGCATCTTGGGCTCTGGTGCCTCCTGACCTCCAGTTTGGTCACTAACAGCACCCCTCCCCTTCTTCTTCCCCAAGGAGCTCAAACTCAATCTGCAGAAGGAGCTGTCTTTGACCAAGGCCAAGTACAGCATAGTTGACCTGTTCCGGACACCCATCCTGCGTCGTGTGTCACTCTGTCTCTCCTTAGCCTGGTAATCTACCCCCTCGCCCTGCCTGTGCCCCTCCTCCACCAAGGAAAGAATGATGGAGGAGGCCTCCTGCAGGCTCACCTGAGAACATGGTCAAGGGTATCTGCATGTAGAATCCAGCACTCCCTTCCCTGAGCCACTGTAGCCCAGCCCAGCCCCAAAATGTACTGCATCCTCGCCCCACCCACAGACCCCACCACCTGGTGTCTTGCCTACCCCACGCACAGGGCAAAGCCTTTAAATTCATTCATCAGTCTGAATCCCAGCCCTGGAAGTTTCCAGATGCTGAACCTGACCATCGCTGCTCGCAGGGATCTGGCTCTACTTTTGGGGATCCCACAGACCACAGGAGCCCTCAGGGCTTCAGATTTGAAAGGGGAAATAGTTTCTCCTGAAGCTTCTCTTCTGTCCCCTTCTGTAACCTCACGCTGTTTTTGCATCCTGGTCATTCTCAAGGCAGCAGAATCACATCTGTGGTCCAAGAACTCTTCAAAAGAGATCCCAAAATTCAAAGAGGGGAAGGGAGGCCCCTGGCGCATGCAGACACCTCAACCTACACACAGGCACACAACACCAAACATTAAATCCTTATCAGGCAACTCCTAGCCAACCGAGAGAGATCTTTCACTGCCACCAGTGGCTTCCTGTCTGTCCCTAGATGATGCAAACATTAGTTCAAACCAACCCAGGATCTCCACAAAAGAAAAACCTGGTGATCTGCTTCCATAAAGATAGTTGTTGCTGTTTATGGTCAAGTCGGAACCAACCCATAGCTGAGCCTCCAATGGCTTTTCAGAGGCAGTTAACTGAATGAGAGGAGATTGTCCATCCTTCTCCGGCAGAGACACTGGCAGATTTGAACCACCTATCTTCAGGATTGCAGTGCAGCTTCTTAGATCACCAGAGCCCAAAAATACTTCAGAAGAGTTCTACGCCAACTCTCGAGGTTGCCGTGAGTTAGAACTGACTCAGAACAAGAGTTTCCCTTTTCTGGTTTGATCTCCGAATCCTCCTCTTGTCCAGGGTCAGCTCTAGAGCCCTTCACCACCACACCCCAGATCCAGGCCCACCTCTGGCATAATCAATCACTTGACCATTGCGTCCTTACCAGTTGGCTGTAGCCAGCGTGGTGAGCCCACAGCCACTGCGGAGGGCAGTCCCAGCCGGGCTCTGATGCTGACCAGTCCCTCTCTGCCCCTCAGGTTTTCCACTGGTTTTGCTTACTACAGCTTGGCCATGGGTGTGGAAGAATTTGGGGTCAACATCTACATGCTCCAGGTCATCTTCGGGGGTGTGGACATCCCGGCCAAGTTAATCTCCATCTTCTCCCTAACCTTCCTGGGCCGGCACACCACACAGGCAGCTACCCTGCTCTTGGCAGGAGGGACTATCTTGAGTCTAATCTTCGTGCCCTCAGGTGAGAGGCTGAGCGAGCCCAGAGCCCACAGAGGGAGGAGGACAAAGCACGCAGGCCAGGCCGATCTGTCTACAAGCCTCACAGGCGTGCGGTTCTGCCTCTAACTCACCAGCTTACCTGAGCAGGTCTCTCTGGGGCACAGATATTTCATCTAGAAAATAACTCAGTTGAGCTAGACGACGTTGAAGCTACTTTCTTGATCTGAGTCGGACTGAGATGTATGTGGTGGTGTGTAGGAATTGCTTTGGGATTGGAGGTGTCTGTGTGGGGTCACTGCAGAGGACAAGCAGGGACAGAGAGAAAACTGAGCCCAAGGCTTGAAAAAAACCCTACAACTGAACTCAAAATGTCCCTGAGAAAGTCACTTGCCTTTCGTAGTGATGGGGTTTTTTTGGGGGGTTGGGTTTGGTTTCCTATTTTTTGTGTGTGCCTCATCAAATCAGATCTGACTGGTACAGGAGAGATTGTCCAATCTTCTCCAGTAGGGCATCTGGTGGATTCGAACCTCTCACCTCTGGGACTGCAGTGCAGTTTCTTGCCACTAGGCCACCAGAGCTCGCCATAGATGGTTTTTTGATGATACACCCAACTCCTTCTAAAGGAATCTGAAGTGTCTTAGGACAAGAGTATATACAACAAATTAAATCACAATAAGAAACCAGAACCAAGGAAAAACACAGACACAGCAGGGCACAGGCAAGCAAACTAACAAAAATAACAGGAACCATCACTCTGTTCTAAGTTTGGATTTGAGTTTCCCTGAGGCCAATGTAAAAGGGGAGAGAGAGCCAGATCCAGAATTCTTGTTACCAAAGACAACCTTTACCTTTACTGAAACTTTCCAGCAACCTCTCGGAAGACTCAAAGTAGGGGTTCACCTGAACCAATGGCATCTCAGTGCCATCACTTGGCTGCCCTCTGAGGAGCCCCGCCTGGGCTGGCTGACAGGACAACGGTCCAGTGCGGGTTGTCTGGGAAAGTCTGTTAAGTGATGCGAATCCTCAGGCGCTCCTAAGCCCCACAGTCCCTGCATCTCCCCCGCCTCCCCGCAGAACTGCAGACCCTCAGGACAGTGCTGGCCGTGTTTGGGAAGGGGTGCCTGTCCAGCTCCTTCAACTGCCTCTTCCTCTACACAAGCGAGCTGTACCCCACCGTTATCCGGTAGGTGCTGGGGCTCGTCCCAGAGGACAGAGGCTCAGTGGGGCTGAGCCTTCCTCCTACCCCCAACCCCAGGGTCTCAGAGCCAACCTCCCATCCAGGCTGCCTATTACTGCTTTGAATCCCCAGGCAAACAGGATTGGGCATAAATAACGTGTGGGCCCGCTTGGGCAGCGTGATGTCCCCGCTGGTGAAGACCCTGGCCGAGGTACAGCCCTTCATCCCCAATGTCATCTACGGGGTCTCCGCCCTCTTGGGGGGCAGTGCCGCACTCTTCCTGCCTGAGACCCTCAATCGGCCCTTGCCAGAGACCATCGAGGACCTGGAAAGCTGGTCAGTCCCCACCTCTAGCCCCTACTAGTTCCCCTCCTGCAGAAGGCAGAGCTTTATCCCGGGCTTTACCTAAGGCTCCTTGTCCCCAGGTCCCAGAAGGCTAATAAGAAGCCAGAAAAGGAGCTGGAAACAGAAAAGATCTCCCAGAGGATCCCTCTGCAGGCCTGTGACCCAGATGTGGTGCCCAGCTGAGAGCAACGGAACCCCTTTCTCTGCCCTCCAGAGATCTCTGCAGCCAGCACCCCGCCTGCCTCTGGGCTCCTCTGACATCCTGTGGTCTTGAAGACAAAATCTTCTACAAGTTGAGGGACAGGGTCACCCACCACCTCCAGAGCCCCCAGCCCAGCCGTGGCCAGTGCCAGGGTTCTTCTCAGGCCTCCGCACACACACTCTGCCTTCCTCTGCCTTCCAGCCTAGACTCTGTTGTTCTGTCCAGCTCACTCCCTCTGAGATTCCCTGGGACCCTGGCTCAGTCCTGAGCATCCAGGATTAAGACAGTTTCCCCTTCGAACCTCCAACCTCTTTCTCTAAATCAGCCTTCAAGGAAAGGAGGTTTCAATAAACTGAGATAAAGAACTCAGCCATGTTGCACAGGGAGAGTACAGAGGGTGACAGGCCACTGTGTAGGTGTGTGAGCAGACACACCCTTCCCTGTGTGCCTGTATGTACAAACAGGTACAGGCACAAAGGTTTAGCAAGCTGGGCAGGTATGAATCTAAGCATGTATGAATGTGGACAGCAGGCTGGTACTGGAAAATACCATGTGTGCCTCCCATGTCCCGGCATGCACATGTGCAGACGATGAGACGTGTGGAGGGTGCGTCCTCCAGTCCTGACCTTTCTTCCTTGCTCGCTCCAGACCTCTCATCCACACCCCAGGCCCACACCAGCGACAGCTCTTTAACGGAAAACATATGTTTGAACGCTGCTAACATTGGTGCCACTTTCCCAGGGTGCCCATCTCCATTCCCCTGGCTCCTTCCCATTGTTGCAAACGCTTTCCTTGGTCTCTGTATCTCCCTACAGCACCACAGTCTGTCTCTTCCTTTGCCAGTGAAACGTCATGGAAGTGCTGTCTACATCTCTCCACCGAAATGGCTTTTACAAGGACCCCATCACACTCCTGTGCTGTTCTGGCTCTGATTCACAACTCTTACCTGGTGGCCAAATGATCAAGCTCTCCTTTCCTAGTTCCTAAGATGCCCATGTTTGAAGTTCCCTCCACCCTCTGGTCTCCCCTCCGGACCCTTTGAGGTTTCCTGCAAATGCATTTGAGCAAAAGCTGACAGAACGGATTGGTTTTCCATTCAACCACTCACACACATTCTCTTGTCTGACCCTGATGACGATCTCCACATTGTGGGAGCGTGCTTCCCACTACATCTCTGGGGTTCCTTTTTCCACTCACCTTCTAAGGTACCCTCTACCTTCCGAGCTTACCCCTGGGGCAAACGCTGCCCTTCAGATCTTGTATGGTTGACGGTCCTATAGACTGAGGACTTACCTGATATGATTGTGCACTTTATTTTGGGTGAACCTCATACGGGTTAGATTTGGTATGGTTCCTTGTAATCAATATCAAAAGTTACACTTCATCCTCCGTCAACCCTCATATGTTGATGTCCCTCACAACTACAGCAGGACCGCTTCCTCTAACAATCTTCACGTGAACTGTCCAATGGAAATGTAACTCGAGCCACAGACCTAATTTTAAATTTCTGTCTTTTGTTAGCTGGAAATTGTCCCAGGGTGAATTCCATCACAGGCTCAGAGAGTGGTTAAATATCAGAGTTTGGGGGGGGGGTTCATCAACCTTTGTCAGAGAAGTTGCTGTTGCTGTTGTTGTTGTTGTTATATGCTGTCAAGTCAATCGGGACCCACAGCAACCCTCTGAACAGTGGCTCTGAACCCTGCCCTATCCTGAGCCAATCTCACCACCTCTGACACACTTGGTCCTACTGCCACTGTCACAATGTCAATCCATCTCATCCAGGGTCTTCCTCTTCTGCACTGTCCCTCCACCCTTCCAAGCATGATGCCCTTCTCCAAGGACTCATCCCTTCTGGCCGTATGTCCAAAGTATGTGAGATAGAGCTTCAAGATCCTTGCCTCCAACAAACACACTGATTTCACCTTCTGCATGACAGACCTATTTTTGCACTTGGTGGTCCACGGTATGTTCAAGACTCTCCTCAAGCACAATGCAAAAGCATCAGTTCCTCTTTTGCCATCCTTAGTCACTGTCCAGCTCTCAGACGCACAGCAAGCAACAAAGAAGTTGAAGCAGCTGCAAACCTTATCAGAGAAGTATACAGTTGTCCCACCAGGGTGAATTCCATCACAGGCTCAAAGAGTGGTATACAGTTGGCCATTTTCCTTTGACCCCCGCCCCATTTTATCCCACACTTATCTCCCGCCTCTATCCAGGACCCTATATTATGATTCTTTCCAGAGAAGTCGTCTAGTTCTTCTAGCATCTTCAAGTTTTGATTCTCAGAAGTTTAAAGTCACAAGGTCTATTGTTTCCTCGTATCTTGACTTTTCTTTACCCATTTTGCTCCATACAAGGAGAAACCAATAGTTAAGCCTTAGATAGCCACTTGAAAGCTCTGAAGAATCCAACCATGCCAAAGTCACTTTTCCTGCCATGTCCTTAGTGTTCTCAGAATTTGCAAACAGGACAGTTATTGAGCCCATGCCCTGGATGTATCTGACTGCACCAAGGGTCGCTAAATCGGGTTACTAAGATATTCTTCCCTGGGCTGGGGTTTGAGACATGAATTCTAGCCCATTTCTTGATTTGCCCTGCAAAGGCAAGATAACATGAGGCTGGGCTGGTCCAGTTCCAAGTGGAAGAGAGAAAGCCAAGTGAAAAGAGAAAAATAAAGTGAATTTACAAAGGAAACAGAACAATAGACAACCAGCGCAGGCCAGGTAAGAAGCAGTGGTGAGGATGGTTACATTGATACTTGGTGGACCACAGATCCTGGATCCTCGGCAGCTCTGGGTTCACTCTCTACCTCTGGGTTCTAGTAAATATCCCTCAATTATGTCAGTGACGTCCCCTTGTGGTCTGAGTTCAATTGAGGAGTTCTGTTGGATGATGTGTTGGCTTGCTAGTGCAAAGATCAGTGGTTCAAACCTACCAGTCACTCCACAGAGAAAGATGAAGATATCTGCTTCTGTTAAGATGATAGTTTTGGAAGCCCCTTGCAATTCTGCTTATGGAAACCTTGGAAACCCTTTGAGGCTGTTCTACTCTGCCCTGTAGTGTCACTTGAGCCAGAACCAATTCAAGGGGAATGGGTTAGCTTTGGTATGGTTCCTCATTGTCAGATAATATCAAACCTAACACCTCATCCTCCATAGACCCTGAAATGCTAATGTCCCTCGGAACTTTAGCAGGACCCCTTCCCCCAGCAGTCTTCACCTGCAGTGTCCAGTGGAAATACAATTGGAACCACATTCCTAATTTTAAATTTCTGGTAGAGTCATCCACAGGGTTTGTGCTGCTAATACAAAGATGGCGCCTCTCGGGCAGTTTGACTTGAGCAGCCACACTGGGGAGAAAGATGGGGAACCTCCTCCTGTGCGATTTACAGCCCCAGAAACCTTGCAGGAGAGTTAGCTATGAGTCGGTTCCCACTTGATGGCAATGACTTCTTGGAGCCATTGTTGTTAGTGACAAAAAATTCCAATGCACGGCAACACCTAATGTCACGGAGCAGACCTGGGTTCCACTGGCTTCTTGGCTGTAATCTTAATGTTGGCTGATCGCCAGGACTTTTCTTCTTTGGAACCACTGAGTGGGTTCAAACCACCAACCTTTAGGTTAACTATTGAGTGAAAATCATTTGCATCACCTCCATTTTTAAAAAGCTCCTTGCTACAGTTGTTGTTAGGTGCCGTCAAGTTGAGTATGACTCATGACGACCCTACAACCAACCAATCTAAGCACTGTCCTAGGCCGTGCCATCCCCACTGTCTCTGACACACTCAAGCCCATTGCCACTTGTCACCGTATCAACTCACCTGGTGGAGGGTCATCTTCTCTCTCGCTGCCCCTCCAACTTCCCAAGCATGATATCCTTCTGTAAGAAATAACCTCTCCTAGCAAGACACCCAAAGTCTATAAGACAAAGCTTTGTCATCTTTGCTTCCAAGAAGCACTGTGGCAGTAACCTCTCAAGACATATCTGCTCTTTTGGTAGTCCATGGGATATTCTGTGTTCTTCTGCAAAACCACAGTTCAAAAGCATCGATTCTTCTTTTGTTCTTCTTATTAACTGTACAGCTCTCAGATGCATAGCAAGTGACTGAAAAAACCAGGGCTGGACAGGCACACCCTAGTCCTCAAACTGACATCATTACTCCTCAATAATTTGGAGACGTCCCTGATTGCAGACTCTCCCAGTGCAGTGCCACAGAGTCAATTCCAATTCCGAGCAACCATAAAGGGCAGAGTGGAACTGCCCCGTTGGGCTCCCAAGCTTATGCAACCTTTACATAAGCAGGCTACCACTTATTTCTCCCTGGAAAATCGGATGGGTTCAAAGGGCCAACCTTTCAATTAACAGGTGAGCACCTAACCAGGGCTCCTTTTACACCACCTGTTTGTCATATTAGGGACCATCACATTGGCTCTAAAGCTTAGAGCCTAGAAACAACAGAACAAAACACTACCCCATTCTGCACCCTCCTGACAGTTGTTTGCTGTGTTTGAGCCCAATTTTGGGACCACTGTACCAGTTCACCTAAGAATCTTTCTCTTTTTCCCTGAGCCTCTACTTTACCAAGCAAGATGCCTTCATCTAAAAACCGGCCCCTTCCTTATGACTCAGGGTGAAGTCTCTCTCAGGGAGGAGTGATAGGGAATGGCAAAGGACACACTGACAAAGAAGATTAATCAGAACTGGCTTTGACAAGCACTGTGGCATTTGGACAAGAACAAACTGGGAGGAGGGTAGAGAGAATAGTGCAACAATGAATGAATGGAAACCCAAAATCTCTGTAAATGTTTATGAAAATTAATAAAATATAATTATAGAAAAAAAAGAAATACCAAGAATAAGCCAAACACACAAAAAAATTGATAAAAAAAAATAAAAACTGGCCCCTGCTAATAATATCCCCAAAGTGTCTGAGACAAAGCCTCACTATCCTACCTTCTAACCAGAACATTCAGGTGGCAC